ACCGCCCACCCCCCCCCCCCCCCTCACCTAGCCCTGCACTACCTCCCAGCCACCAGCTGAGTGCTACTGCCCAGCTCACAGCTGCTCTAGGGCTGCAGTGCCAAGCTCCACACAGCCCTTCTGCCATGCAGCAAAGCACTCTTCTGTGGCCAGGAAGAGACCTCCACTGCTGCCCTGCCAGGCCGGGCAAGAGCCCAGCTCCCGACACACAATGGATCGGCAGGGTATGTGGCACACATGACAGGGGTGGGCACATGATTTTGGTGGCTCAAGAGTCCTCCCCTCCCCCCCAGCTGTTAACAGTCAGGACCTAGAGGCCATGGTCACTCAGCCAGTGCACATCTTGGGCTCATGGCACCCACCTGATAGGTACTACTCCCTGACACCCACTGGTTTGAGTCAGGGAGCCCAGGCTCCCCCTGCACAACTCCGACCAGTGCTGCCAGCTGCGGTGCCCATGGATGTTGGGAAGCAGCCAGACACATGGTGCAGGCCGGAGCCAGCAGGGGAGACCCTACGGGGGAAGTCAGGCCCTGCCGTAGGAGGGGTGGAAATTGCCGACACCTAGTGCAGCTCCCTGGGGCCTCTAACCTGATCCTCCTTGAGATGCTGATGGTCATGAGGGCTCCACTCCCTGGTCCTGACCACACCACCCACCACGGAAAAGACACGGAGCAGCTGACCACCATGCAGCCCTGCCAGCCGGGCTGAATGGCTGCCGTCAGAGCTGGAACTGGGACTGTGGTGAGGCTGCCCCAGTAGGAACAGCCTCACTGCAGCCTGGCTCCAATCACGGCACGTGGGGTAGCTCGCAGTGCTACTCACCCCAGGAGGAGAATTTTTAGTGCATGCAGGCATGCACCTTATAGGGAACAGAGCTTCCCAGTGGGTGGGACTCATTAGCAGGTGGGGGCATGGCTTGCCAGAGTGCCATGGTCTGACAGGCAGGGATTTGCAGCCCGCCACTGGTCCATGGACCAGTGGTTGGGAACTACTGTCCTAAGCTACAGGTCAAATCTGACGATTTATAGCCCACTGTTAAGAGGATCTGTAATGGATGACCCTACATTAGCTAGATATTACAGAGCACTGAATATGGGATAGTCAACGTATTCTAAGCATAGCATTCTCGGGGACCTGAGTTTACAACTAATAATATCACTTCCTACTGGACTGGTCTCAGCTATTTAGAGCAGGTTTTAGCAATGGATGAATCCTCCTCAGCAAGAGACTTTCAGCTTCTGGGTTCATCAGTGCATTCAGCAGCAAGGAATAAAAATAAAAAAAGAGGGTGTGAGAGCCATAATTAGTGCTGTTAACTTTAGCTACAATCTGTCAATGAGTCAGGCTATGGAAGTGAGCAATAGTTTGCTAGTTAACTGCAACAGCACCTTTCAGGGTGTGGTTTAACCTTTCTGAAATGGAAACAATAATAAAATAGGGTTTTAAGCATCACAAAATTCACAGGTGACTGGGAGCACAGTCGAGTTGATTAGTCATGGGACAGAGAGAGAATGGCTGGTTCTAGCCCTGCCTCTGCATTTGACATGTTTTGTGAAAATCACTTAGACACCAAGGGGATTTTGGCATCTAAAAAAGGCACATAGGTCCTTAAAAGGTATTTAGGCCCTTAACTCCTATTAATTTGGTTGCACTCCGACTTGGGGGTCAAGTTCTTCCAGGCCTTCTAGCCAAGCTCCCAGCTCCCTGGCCTGGAGCCTAGAAACTCTGTTTCACTGGAAAATTCCCAGCCAGCTCCCATGATAAGTCCTTTATCAGAAAAGGTAATTTAACAAAAAAACAAAACAAACAAACAAACACTCTTCCCCCCCACTAGTATAAAGTGATGTATTTATGTTTTGCAGGATTCAGAACAGACTCCTTTAACCAGACATTTCTAATACATAGATAGTGGATTTAATAAAAAGTATCAAGAACCAGCTTTTCAAAAAATGATGTTTGTTTAGTTTCCAATATATTTTTTTAAAGAAAGGCCATTTTTGAAAAATGCAGCTTTAGTGGAAAGATTCTGACCAGCTCTACTTAAAATATTCAACCTCTGGACTGATCCAAGACTTTGAGACAGAGACAGCCTATATCTAAGGCTACTGGGAGAGAGAGTGAGGTCATTTAACTTCAGCAATGCTACTGAGCATGCTCAGTTCATGTGGGCCTACTCCCTACAAGCAAAGCAGCAAATTGGGGCAGCAGGCATGATCCTCACATGCCTCATCATGCATTGCCTCAGTTTTGAGAGGTTGCTAGAACAGTGTAAGAATTCAACCAGACAATATTAGCAAAAGCTAGCAGTGTCTCTATGAGCATTTTATCCTAGTTACCACATTGTGATACAATGTAATAAACCTCTAAGAGATAAGCAGTAATGTTTATATAAAAATGTGAAAGTGGCCTCTTCCATCTTTCAATTTCAGCTCTTCCTGTCCTTATGAAGAACAATTCTTAAATTGTTAGACAGAAGTTAGAGTTAGGCCATAGCAGCATTTTACCCTACTGATGAATTAATATTGCAACAGTCACTCTGGTTGAAATAAGAGGAGCCAAAGGTCCAGGCACTTAGTGTACTGTGTCCATATAGAATATTCTATATTTTCAACACTAGTTCAGTGAACTGGAATTCGTGCCTCCTTAGTTCTTCTCAGGCTACGTCTAGACTGCAGGTTTCTTTCCGAAAAAGCTTTTCCAGAAGAAAGAGTGTATCTACACAGAAAAAACAAAAAACAAAACGCACACATTGAAAAAAAGTGATCTGCTTTTTTGAAAGCTAAGTGTCCATTCAGCGTGGACACGATCTCGCATTTAAGGTGTGATTACTATGGACAGAGTGGCCACCAGAGCACCCATGCTTTTTTCTCTTTCAAAAGAACTCCCTCTTCCCCGTCCACGCATGCCTTTTTCTGAAAGAGCTTTCGGAAAAGGCGTTCTTCCTCATAGAAAGAGGTTTAAGAATGTTGGAAAAACCCCTCTGTTCCCCCCTCCTCCCCCACAAAGAACACGATTGCAGTATAGACATATCCTCATCAGAAGTGTGTTGCTACTCACAGCAGATATGTAAATGTAACCTTCAGGTCATTCAACAATGAAAACTTGAATCTTCAATATTAAAGAGCTCAGATGAGAAGACCCTGGAGAAGCACTACATCAAGACTCACTTTGTTTCTATCCTTCTGAATGTATAGGAAGTCCTGGAACCCCAATGAAAGAAAGGGTCCATATTGATTATTTATATGTTAAGACTGTGTATTGGAGCAACCTGCATGGGATTTGGAGGCAGGAGTGTGGAGAAGGCACCAGACCACCAGTCTGGTGCCTGTGGCTGCAGTTGCAGTACTTCTGTAAATAGTTCTCTTAATTAAGAGCCAATTTAGTTTAAAAAACATGGAGACCACACATGTTATTACCCAGTTAATGATACATAAAATATGTATGAGGTTCAACAACTCATGTATGACTGATTTCAGAGAGGTAGCTGTGATAGTCTGTTTCCACAAAAACACAGAATCCAGGGGCACCTTAAAGGCTGACAATTTATTATGACTTGCACCTCGTTTTGTCAGATGCATCTTGCTCAGATGTACCT